TTTAACTTTCACTGTCTTTCCTACTTTCAGCCTCTGTCTCATTGCACTCTCTCTGACTCTATCCATCTCTTCGTCTCTCTCTGCCACACTTGTCTTTCTTTTGCATGTATATACATGCAGGTGTTACATACTTGTTCATTTACTTAATCTTATTTGTATTTATGCATGCATGCTCTCCTCTTTCTATTCCCAGCATAGTTTTGATATCTAGTGATACTTAGGTAGTAACCTCATGGCTCAGGAAGAATTAAAATGAATAGGAGTTTGTTCGAAAGGAGGCTTGAGGGAATTGATGAACAAAGAAGGGGATTTTTAAAATTATAGATAGGTGTTATGAAGACTTAGTTCTATTTTAGATGATGCACTGCTAGTTTCACAGCAGTTTCAAAATGGACACATGTAAAACCAAAAATAATTAGCAAACCTCAGACCCTCCTCTTATTTTCCATGTTTTCTAGGGTCACTTTTTAAGGCCCTTTTTGCCAATTATGATTATTTTTTCCTTCCTCGCCTTTGTCATTCTGCTAACTCTCCTTTTCCATTTTCCTGACCATATTCTGGGTTCTTCCCCTTGTCATCTTTTATCTGGACCATTTCAGCCACTATCCTTGACCTCTGCCATCTTCCCAGTCCCTCATTACCACTGAAGCCAAGTTAATGTTGTTCTTGCATCAGGCTCTGCATGCTGCCCTCCCTTTGCTTCCAGTCATCTTCTAGGGTCAAAAGAGAGCTCCACAACATCACTATGTGGGTAGTTGTTTCTTTTAAAGGCTTATCTGACCAATATTTTACCCTCCTAACAATATGCTCAATGTGCCTAAGAAGCTCTTCACCTCCTACAAATAAAACCAGTGCCCAGTTATTTCCAATGAGATAAAGACTATTTTGAGAAACATAAAATGAACATACATGGGAATCTGGATAGGAAGCTTAATGAACCAATATTTATAGCACCAATGTATTGTACAAGTATTGTACAATTAACCAGATGGTGTTTGACTTGTGTCAATATTAAGAACTTGTTTTTTTTTACTTTATTTATAATTTAGACAGGAGTCAGCAAACTTTTGCTGTAAAGCATCAGAGTAGTAAATACTTTAGGTTTTGTGGATCATTTTGTCTCTGTCACAACTACTTACATCTGCCTCTGTGTTGCAAAAGCAGCAATTGACAATTCATATAAATGAGTATGATTATGTTCTAATAAAACTTCATTTATAAAAAGAGGAGATAGCCTAGATTTGGTCCCTGTAGACTGTAGTTTGCTAACCCTTGATTTATACTTTATGATAACATCTTATTGTATATATCTTTCAGGTAAAATTTCCATTCCTGTGTTAACTTGTTTTTTAAAAACTTCTAAGGTTTTTTTCCTTCGCTGTCTCCATATATGTAAATGCATATGAGTGAGTGAGAGTTTGTATGTGTGTGTTTGCCAAAAATGATATCTTTTGGGTTTGCTAGAGGGCTTCACATCATCTTAGCATTATTATTATTTATATATATTATTTTATTTATATATATTTTATTTATATATTTTATTTAATTTATATATATTTTGTTTTTATATATTTTATTTATATATTTATTTTTATATTTACATATTATTTTTATTTATATATATATTACCTGTATCTATTCTGAATCAGGCAAACAAAAATCTGAATAATATTGACATCAGATAATTATCTCAATAAACTGTAAAATAACTGTAATTGATATTACATGTCAATTATGTGATATATTTATATTTTTATATTTTTCATATTTTACTCCTTCGGTAGTGCTTATATTTAGATTCTCAGTTATCTTTTAAAAGAATATTTTAGAGTATTGTCCAAAAGTATTTTGTTTATAGATGCTTACTGAATCAGCTTAAAGATGTTTGTAAAATTTTAGACATTTTTTAATTGAGGAATTTTATTTGCAAGTCTTTGTATAAGTATAGTTGAATTAATTTAAAATTAAACTTTTATGAGATCTGAATTGGTAATACATTAGATAAATCATCATATGAAATTTAAAACATTACACCTTTCTCACAAGTTTAATTCTAGATGAATATAATGGTTAATTGTAAAATCTACTGATTTTTTTTTACTATTGGATGAGAAAGAAGGTTTTTAACCATAAAATAAGAAATATGAACAAGAGAATAATGTATTTAATTATAAAAATAAACACACTGAATAAAAATATTAAAAGTAAAATTAAAAGGAAATGAATAATGCCATAAAAGTGTTAGCCTTATTTATTTATCAATGACATTCAACTTGTCTAAAATCAAAGGAAAACAAATTGAATCTAAAAATGAATACATCACATTTTCTTATCAAATCAACAATGTTTTAAGTGGAAATTTTTAATTCTAGTGCATTGAGGAGGCATTAGATAAATAGGATGCTCTTTTTACCTAACAATTTGATAGCAAAATCAGTTATTTATAACTATTAGCTTCTTCCAGGAATCTGTCTATCCTAATGATATGTCAAGATTTATAGACAAGATATTCACTCAGTATTATTTATAAGGGTGCATATTTATAAACAGTGGAGTTATCCAAAAATAGATAATAAATAAATTGTGATGTCATTATATGAATATCATGTAATCATGTTTTTAAAGGATAAGAGCTAATAATTTAGAACGATGCTCAGAATGTAATATATATTAATAAAGTAGAATAATATATAGTTATATTATAACTTTTTATATGGATATATAAAAATAATAATGCTGGTGTGGTAAAATTACAGCTTCCTTTTATTTCTTTTTCTTTTTGTACCTCCCAAATTTTCTATCATGTGCATGCATTTCAACATAAGAGAAGATATAAATTCTCTTTTTCCCACAACACTAAATAATAAATCAGTTAATCTTTTCTCATATGCCTTAGAGCATGATCTTCCTGGTTTTCTTTTAGAGAGGAAAAATAGGATAAAAATAACTTGAAAGTTAAATAAATGAATTTCATATTTCTTGACAAAAGCCTTATCTTAGTTTTGATAATTTGATTTCTATACCAATTAAATCATTTTGGATGAATGTTTATTCTTAGTAAGCTTGTGTAGCTATAGCACACACAGGTTAAAATCTATGGAATGTGGTTTATAAACCACCTTCATTTTTGTCCCTCAAAAACTATGTTATTTTTATTGGAACTGCATTAAAATTATATACTTAGGGAAGTTTTTCACCTTTTTGTTTTTCATTCTTTTATTCTTGTTTATTCTATTACAGTTGTCCCCACTTTTCCTGTTTTGCCCTCCTCCATCCTGCCCCATTCCCCGCTCCCACAGTCCCTCCCCATACCAGGGTCCTTGTCCAGGGTCGTTCATACATGTTCTTGGACTAATCTGTTCCCCTCTTTTCAGCATTCTCGTCTTCTCTCTTCCCCCTGGCAGCTGTCAGTCTGTTCCCTGTTTCCATGTCTCTGGTTCCATTTTGCTCATTAGTTTATTTTGTTCATTAAATTCCTCTTTATTGGTTTTCAGGTTATGCCAACACCTTTTATATGTAATAACACTTGCTAAAATTTATCTTTGACCTGAAAGCCATCCAAGAGTTATGCCATATTAAAGAATGTTTGCTGTTCAAGCAGAATGAATCCTAAGATTTCCCAACACTAGTGTTTTATATAGGAAAATAGCAGCGGAAGGTCCAAGAGCTAGTTCCTGCCACGTAGAAAATATCTGACATGCCCATAGGTAGGAACCAGGGCAGACAGTTCAGAGTTATATGTAGCAGTTGGAAAGAATCTTCTGTCTTGGAAGGAGCTGCTGTTATATAAGTGAGTTTTTTCTCTCTCTGTAAAATATTTAACTTAAACCCCCTTGAGGTGGGTCTAAGCCTACAACCACAAACCAGTCTGTTATTTCCAATGTACCCACAGTCTAGCTGTCTCTTATTTTATTTTTTAATTTAATTTCTATTTTGTATCAAATTAATTTTTAACAGTTTAAAAAAGTCTAATAGTACTCTCAAGATAAACAGTACCCTTCTGTTATCAATACGTTGTCTCTGCAATGAGCACAGGGGTGCATTTTCTTTTCAAATTAGTGTTTTCATTTTCTCAGATGAATAACCAGAAGTAGAATTGCAGGATCATTTGGTAGTTCTATATTTAATTTTTTGAGGAAACTCCACACTGTTTTCCATAATGGTTGCAATGCACTATGGAAATCCTACCAGCAGTGCACAAGAGTTCCCTTTTTTCCACATCCTAGAGAGGCTAACACTTGTTATTTCTTGTCATTTTGGTAATAGTCATCCTAACAGGTATGAAGTTATGATTTTTGATCACTGTCTAATTCATATTAATTAACATAGTACTTGTTGAATACAGAATAAAATATAGTTATAGCTTTTCTTTTAATTCCAAAATAAGATCTAGAAGTAAAAATATTAGAACATTGCATGTTGAAAAATATAGTAATTACAAGTAATAATCATAATATTTGCAAGCCAAATATTACAGTGTTTAAATGACCTCAATTTATTGCTTACTATATACTAGGCACTGGGTTTAATTGTATACTTCAATATATAAGTGGGAAGATAGATATTATCAGTTTTTGCAGAACAATAAACCAAGAATTGGAGTATTATTCAACCTCTTGTTCAAAGTTGTATCGGTAATGATAGAGCTAATAGTACAAACTCAAGTGTATTTTATATTTTTAAAGTAATACTTTTTTTCCTGAAATATACTTTCTTCCTTATCTGATCTCTACCAAAATAATGTTTCAATAGGCTGGAGTTTAGGAAGAGCTTTTCCCACATACGGGAAATTAAAAGCTGTATTACGCTGGGCCACTTTAGTTTCATTAGCTATTGGACACAGTTCTGTTACAGAGTTACATGATTTTTATTTTTTTACTTTCCTTTCATTATTGCACTTGTGCAACTTCTAGATATTTACCATTTACATAATAGTAATGGAAGAAAGAATTGGGAACTAGAATTTAATAAATTACAAGTAAAATCTTTTCTTTTAACAGAGAGGAGAAAAGGATCATCAGGTGCGTTTGGCAGTTGGAAATGGTGTACGGAATGATGTGTGGAGAGAATTTTTAGACAGATTTGGAAATATTAAGATGTGTGAGTTCTATGCATCTACTGAAGGGAACATTTGGTTTTTGAATCACACTGGGAAAATTGGAGCAGTCGGGAAAACTAATTTCTTTTTCAAAGTAAGTACCATTTTTTTCTTTACAGAAGAAATATTTTGAGACCTGCTGACCTCTCTTCTAGCTTTGTGCTCGTACATTATGGTAAATACCATCATGTGTTGTTAGTTTTTTTAAATTGAGAACTTCTATAAATAAAGAAGTTCTAGGTGAAATATAGTTTATCCATAGGTGAACTATATGCTATAGGTTATGAAAACCTCAACCTCCCATGTTTTCCTTCTCTCATATGGGGATAATTATACCTAATTCTTCTGTTTAGTTTTTAAATTAATGATATAAGTATAAAAATCAAGCATAGATCCTAATATATATTAATTTAACTCAATTTTCTTTGAATATTTTCAATCCATTATTTCTATTTACTTTTCATTTTTATGTCATTCAAAAATTATGTTTAAGCTTCTAATACATGGTTTATTTAAAAACTGTATCAAGGTGTACCACTAAAGTTAAAAGCAGCCAGAAAAATCACCTTCTTAAGAAAGACTTATAGCTGCATTCTCAATAGCAGCCATGGAAAAGAAAAGATAGTAGACAGATATCTTCAGCGGACTTGGAGAAAATAATTGTCAAATAAAATTAGTACTCAACAATATTTTTTTAAGAACAAAATTGAAAATAAAGAAGATAGTCTCAAAATTTAAATAACCTTAAGGGAAAATAAATTCAGAATCATGGTAGTGTTAACTACCAGTGGACAATCATTCGGAGCAGGAGCGAGGAGAAGGTGGTTCTTCCCCAACCCCCAGCCAAGAGAGCAGCAGGGAGAGGTTCTTACACTGAGCATGCATAAAGCCCTTCCCCCATGCCCCTCCAGTACCACATTGAGAGTAGGACCAGGGGAAGACAGGCACATGTGCCATAGAAGTTAAAATGGTGGTGGGAGGTTCTAAATCAAGAGGCCTGTCAATCTAGCTTGAGGAAAGAAGGGATTGGTTGGGAGGTTAACCTACCTGAAGCACATGAAAGTTTGGGAAGTTGACTGGTCATTTTTGAGAATGCACTGGGTCTCTCCCACATCCAAGCTAATACATTCCTCGGGGCAACAAAGGAACTCTATCCTGCTCGTGGCTCACTGTTTGAATGGTGCACTTGCCTATTCTCTCCATGGGCCATGTGGCCTTAGCAGCCACATGGTCCATGGCCTCCAGGAGGTAGAGTCAGTCTCTCTCTCTCTCTCTCTCTCTCTCTCTCTGTGTGTGTGTGTGTGTGTGTGTGTATGTGTCTCTCGTTAATCTGGTGATGCATTTACTGCTGCATTTGCATGCTCTCTTGTCCAGGAGTACACAACCTTGTAGCCCTAGCAGCCTCAGGCCCATGGACTCTAGGAAGGAACCTGAAATGGGCAGCAGCCAGGAACAAGTTAAGCTACCTGGATGACCACTTAGCAACCACCTGCGGGCTCCAAAGGACTTTAAAATGGAGCAGGAACTCTGGTCACTGGTTTTGTTTTGGTCTTGCTGAGGATAGTTGGACTTTGTCTTGGTCTTGCAGAGGAGATGGGCTTTGAGAACAGGGAGTCCGCCATTCTCCCAGATCATGCAGCATCTGGAGAAAATCTTTCTCATTTTTCACCAGGCACTGCCTCATGAGTCTGGCTTTTGTGGGTGCAGGCAAATGAAACCATCTTTTTTGATTGGTGACAGAAAAATATTATATATACATCTCTTTCAATATTTGGTAGAACAAAGAAAAACTTCAATGATATAGAATATTTGAATAATACAATAAACTACTTGAACTAATAGATATATGTAGGACACCATATCCAAAAGCTACAGAATATCTGTTCTTTTCAAGCACTTACGAAAATTCAAAGATTACTGGGTCACTTAGAGAATTCTAGCAAATTTCAAAAGATTGAATTTATATGGATGTGTTCTCTGACAACAGTTTAAGTAAAGTAAAAATAAATTTTTTGAATGACAGGTAGATCATCTCCTATATCATTGCAAATAAAGCATCTCTAAATTTTCATGAGTCAACAAAAAATCAGAATTTAGAAAATAATTTTAGCTGAATTATAATGAAAATGTTGCATTTCAAAATTTGTAGACTCAGATAAGAACAGCTGAAAATTAGTGGGCTAAATATCCATTTTTATAATAATTTTAAAAACTCAAATAAAAGTAAGAAAATAAAAGCAGAAATTTTTTAAATAGTAAAGAAACATTTAGTGTCAAAAGAGATAAAAATATGCTGTAAACTGAAACTAATCCAAAATAACATTGAATGTACACAGTAATTTAAAAAGAAAAAGATATAAAATATAATTTTTAAAGAGTGAAAAGGTAGATTTGAAGCTGGTGTAAGTTACCCTAATGATTTGCATTCTGAACACAAGTAATTTGGGGAAAGTAAGTGCTATATTACTGAGTTTTGCATTCCTTACAGTTAATATTCTCAATTCATTGAACTGATTCCATTAAAAATTGATATTTATATTAAAACCCCTTTAGTGAAACTGAATCATTCCAAAGTAATTATCCCACAGGAGTACAATAAAGAATTTTTGTATTTTTATTAGCCTTGACTTCATTATAAGTTTATGATATCTTAAATTCCCTGTCAGGCTATAATAATGTCAATAATACAGGAAATCATATTTCCTATTTATTTAGAAAATTTCTGATTTTCAAATTATTTCAGGTTCTTTTTTCAGTTTGGAAATGAACAAAGTACCTAATATCACAAATTTTGTCTTTTATCATTTCATTCACATATTGTTTGTGTTACATAGCAGGCAATCAGGAAAAATTAGACCAATAACTGTTTCATAATTATTTGGGGAGATTTGATAAGTGTGTTTCTCAAGAACTTAAACCTAACAAAGGCTTATACTCACTGTCTTAGAGAGCAGTCAGCCTCTAAATGGAGGTAGGATTTAATAAGTGAAGGAAAAAGATAAGGTGGCAACACAGAGTTCTTATGACCAAAATGTCCTCTTTGTGTGCTATACTTATTATTTAAATGCATGGCACTGAAGGGCTCTGTGTCCCATATATGCTCCCAAAGCAAACAGTATAAAAAATTTTGGTGACACTCATTTGAGAAACAGGCTCAAGGAAAAGTTATGGACTGCCTTCTTTTCTATACCTGGAGGAAGTATTTGGAAGGAACAAATGTGAAATCCCTAGGGGAAATAAAACTTGCAATGTGTGTGGGGGATAAATCTCAATAAAAAGCAGTTGGAAAAAAATATGGATGCACGTAAAAATAATAAGTCCTCCAACATGGCCAGGAAATATTTAGAAAAACAATTTTCCATAGGTTCAAAAATTGCAATAATAAATTCTTTAAAAATGAGAGTTCAAAGAAAAAGAAAGTACAAGGAAAACCTAATCAACAAAAGGAGTTGGAAAGGAGGTACGCTTAGCTCAGAAAAATAAATTAATAAAAAGAATAATGAAATATTACAGAGATGATCACCACATTAAAGGACTTAAAAATAAACAGGACTGTAAACATTGTTAGAGAGCAAGATGGGTGGGATTAAGAGCTCCCATAAACAATAAAAAATGTATGCATATAATAATATAAAATAAGTTTAAAAGACAAATTTTGAAAACAATGTCCTGACATATTGGACATATTAATTGGTGTTCCTGCAGGGGAAAAAAAATTAAAGAGATTAAAAAAGTATTTGAAACCTAATAGAAGAAAACTTCCTTAAAATAAAGATTTGAATATTTAGCAAAAGAGCATATTATATTCTGGAGGAGGGGGGTGAAATAATGGTACAGAATGATCATCAGAAAAATATATCCTGGTGAAATTATTGAACATAAATTAAATTAAAGTACCATAACGAGATGCTGAGGCAGAAAAAAGAAAGGATGTATACAGTGTAGGCTGAAGATGTACATGTGTATACATCTATGACATAATAGAGCGTGGCACCTATTTTTCTTTGTGTTATAATAGCTATTTTTTTGTAATGTTGTGGGACCTCTTGAAGGCAGGAGAAGATCTAGAAATCCTGCTGCCTCAGGCTTAATGTTCTGATCCTGGCTACTTCTAGAAGAAGCTGTGATATATTTAAATTTTACTTATATTATAAAATTACCCAATTTCCAACCATCAAGTCCCCTGTATCTCATAACAGGCTCACTGAACAGTATTTTAGTGTGAAGTGAATGTCATCCGCACATGTGGTTGCCAAATTAATTGAAAAGAAATAACACTAAAGCTGATAATACAAGTTGCTGCGCAAATTTTTCAAAATATAAAGCATGTTAAAACAGCAGAGAAAATATCGAATAATGAACAGGGCTCTGTTCTTGTTTGGCCAAAATAATAAATGCAGTTCCGGACCTTCTGGAATCTTTCTTTTCACCAGTCATTAGGCAAGTGGCCAATATCCTGTTATCCCAGTTACAGACAAAAACCAACAAGATGCAAGCTTGCATTTTAATAAAGAATCTTTATGTCTAGAATAACAATATATTTTGCTTTGCAACTTCTTTCATTGGACCTCATCTTAAAATAGGATAATACTAATTTCTACCTCACAGGGTGTTTGACAGTTAAATTAAATATAGCTCTTAAACTCAGTGGCATACTCTAAGTGCTCAATCAGTGTTAGTTGCTCCCATATATATTTTTACTATATTTTAACTTAAATAATGAATTGTGATTCTAGTTGCATGATGATTTTACTGGGACTAAAAACCAGAAATATTTGTGTTTAGTCTTTCATAATAAATAATACTATTACATTTATCTCATTAATCATATTCATCTTTTCCCACTTATATGATCTGTATTTGTTCACTCCTCATGTCCTCCTGGTGCTCCTCCTGTTTCTATTTGTCCTTTCTTACTATTTTTTCTCACTTCATTTTATTTACCATTTTAGTTTACTATTTTCTAATTTATCTTAGTAAGATTGCTCATTTAATTGATTAGGAAAAGCTCCATTTTCTAACCTATAAAATGAGGGAGGTTAGATTGAATCAATTTGTAATTCTCTCCCAGGATCAGATTTTAGTGGATCTATGAATCTGCATGGCATGGCAATAATGGACATCGCAGTAACAGGGCAGCTGGAAATATTTGGCAACAAAGAAAGATGTCCAATAAGCTTGGTACCCTGTGTGATAAGGATGTGCCAACAAACTTGCCATCTCACATCACAATAATGCACAGAAGTACCATGTGTTAGGAACATAAGGTGAAAGGCCAAAGGGAAAGGTCACAGTGTCAGATAACCAGTACTTTTTTAGGCATCTGATCCCTTTTCAAGGGATTATAAATTAAAAATAGACAATAAAATCTTTGCATGCACATAGTTTACATTTTGGTTCTATTAAAACTTTCCACTTCAAGGTACATTTTGAATGAATGCAAAAAGAACAAGGCAAGAAAGTGGTCCTCTTCCCTATAGTTAGTAGAATATGTAGTTGAGAGCAAGGACTGCTTGCGTTCACTTATTCAATTAGTAATATTTTGCTAAGGTAATGTGCAATATAAAATAAATGGAAGTAAATGTCAGTACATAAGTGCTGTTAACTAATACTTTCAATTTTGATGTTCAAATATTTAGTTTTCCATCAATAAAGTTTCCTTGTTTCAATAAATCCACATTCTAATTTATTTCAATTGAGCATAAAATCTACTACCAGTAGATGTCACTGCACAAATAACTAAATCTTGTTTTCGTTTGAATTTGTTTTTGCAGTATTTTTCCAATTTCAATTTGATAAAGTATGATTCTCAGAAAGATGAACCCATTAGAAATGAACAGGGCTGGTGTAGTCGTGTGAAAAAAGGTAAGATTGTTGTATGAAGAGGTTGCCTCAGGCAAGTTTTCTGAATTTCCTTTTAAATTACTACTAAATTTGGAAAACAAGTGGTTATTTTTCTAATATGTAATGTGGCTTACTTGGAATTTCAGTGTAGATAGAATGGTTTAATTACTAGATGTGATGAGCCTCAAAGTAAGTCTCTTATATGGTAAATTATTAAAATTTAAAAGTGATTATTATTGGGCTCATATTTTTCTTAATCCACCACTTCTGGTTTGTGACAGTGGCATATGCCCAATGTCCTCTATCACCAAAATACAAAAGAAAAATGAATGACTTAATTTAATATTCTATGTGTAGTACAAAGTCAGGTAGACTTGAATTTAAATCTGGGCTTGTACACTTAGAAACTGTACTGCTGTGGGAAGGTCCCCCAAGCCGCCCTAGTCTCATTTTCTTCATATGTAGAGTGGAAGTGACAATACTTGTTTTGTGAGGTTATTGTTGACAATTACATGAGATGATGCAGGGGTGTCCAACACGCAGCCTACGGGCTGCATGCAGCCCAGGATGGCTATGAATGCGGCCCAACACAAAATCGTAAACTTACTTAAAACCTTTTTTTTTGTTGTTGTTGTTGTTGTTCATCAGTTTTCATTAGTGTTTGTGTGTTTAATGTGTGGTGCAGGACAACTCTTTTTCTTCCAGCATGGCCCAGAAATGCCAAAAGGTTGGACACCCCTGATAGGCAAAGCCCTGAAGAAGGCCTGGCGTGTGGCTTCTCACCGCCACCCCTTCTCTTTGCCTCTCACACCCCCTCCTCTGCCAGGGTAGACTTTCTTATAACTTTTTGTTAGAAATTTTAGTGAAAGCAAGTGCTCCAATTAACTTGCCACTGCATATAATTATTCTAGAAAATTAAATGCAGAGATGCGCGCTTAGAATTGTTTAGCGATCCAGTCTGAATAAATTAGGCCAAAATTACTTTTTTGTGCCTCAAAATGTTTAAACTACATTTCAGAGATGATTTCCTTTCAATCTTTACCTCAAATGTGGAGATAAAGGTTGCACACCTGGATTCTGTTTTCTTTTGTTTTTCCGGGTAGCTGAAAGACTGGAAAAAATATAAACCTTACCTATCACAAAAACAGATTGCCCAGTCTTCTGAATTTCAAGCCTTAAGGGCATTTATCAAATACCTTTCCCTAACTGAACTTTATAGATAGACAAAAGCCATTTCTAAAGAGGTTACAAATAATTTCATTTGAACACACTTTGCTATTTTTTTTTTTACCAATTACAATAATATCTGATCTTGGAATTTGAATCCCAAAACTGCTTATTACTATCTTGTTGTTCTCATATGGGTTACTAAATATTTTATTTTTTCCACTAAAGCATTGTGTCTTGCATAAATTATGCCTATATAGAATAGATAGGAATATACTCTGACCTTTTAAGCATTTGCAACGATTGATTTCTCAGGGAAGAAACTATCATGTATGTCCTGAAAAAGAAAATCAACATAAAATTTAAGGGAAATGTGAGGCTTGGAAATTCCGAATATAGTGACTGTAGACTGATGGAATATGTGATGGAGGACAGGCTTCGGAGTCAGGTGGACCTGGTTAAAGAAAAATTCCAACCCCCGTAATTGGCTGCTGTGTGACACAGGGCAAATTACTTTTACTTCCTCAGTTTTCTTAGCTGTAAAATGGCCCATCTTACAGGTTTGAGGTAAGAATCAGATGGGATACATATGTAAAGTGCTCAGGATAGTGCCTGGTACCCAGTAAGTGCTGCAAAGTATAATGAAGATGGTGATGATGATGGTGATGATACCTGTGATGATGAGGGGTCTCTGCTGCAGCAGAGCAGGCTCATTTTGACCACTGGCGTGTGTGCCGTTGGCAGCCAGAAAGTCCAGAAGGAGTGGGAGTAATTGGGAGTTGAATAGAGAGTGTTTAAAAAAAACAACAACTGGAATTCAATCCACTTAAGTCATCAAGAGGATGTTGACTCTCTTCACAAGGGGCAAAGCAAGTCAACAATGGCCTTGAAATCTCCTGGGGCTGTGATTGCTGCTCTCCCTTGTCTTCTATCCTTCTCTTAGAAGTAGTTGTTCACCTTGCAGATGGCTGTCCAAAATTTTGATTCACTTGAATAAATGTGATTAAAAAATTATTTATGAAAGTGTGTCTATAAGTAAAACCAATAAATTTCATGTTTTATCTCTTGCCCACTGAGGATTTCCAAACTGACATCCCAGAGGAATAAAACATTTTCCTAAACTTCCAATAACAAATTAATTAGATTAGAGATAGTATTATATAAAAACCTTGTTGCAAAATCATTTAGACTTGAATTTGAGTACTAGATTCATTCCTTTCTATGTGTTGGACTCTGGTAAATGGCTTTATCCTTTTGGGCCCTCGTTCCCTGTGAAATAGGGGTTATGATTATCAATTTCAAAAGATTTCTGTGAAGAATAAACAAGATGGCAGTCACAAAGGGGTTATGAGGCTTGCTACATATTAAGTGCCCAATAAGTAAGACTACTATCACAACCTTATTAAAATTATAACTATGGTGGTTATTTATATTATTGCCATTATTATCAGCGGTAAAATCTACATAATCCAAAAGAAAAGTAGCTGTTGTTCTAGCCACCCAAGATGTACCTTCTTTCACGTTCAATTTCCTTTTTGTTAGTTTTTCCAAAATTACTTGCATTTTTGGCATATTTGAAAGGATGTGCTGGTTTGTTCGAAGTCCAGAACAAATGATGTCAAATATAATAAAACTAAGTTCAGAGGAAAGGGAGATAAGAAACACTGGTTGTGTCAGTCAGATATAAATTAGGTACATGCACGGCATGTATAGTAATAATTTTAATCATATCACTGAAGAATGCCTTTCTCTCAGAGGAGAACCTGGACTTCTCATTTCTCCAGTGAATGAAAAGAATCCCTTCTTTGGTTATGCTGGGAATAAGAAGCACACAGAAAAGAAATTGCTATATAATGTTTTTAAGAAAGGAGATGTTTACTTTAACACAGGAGATTTAATGGTCCAGGATCAGGAGAATTTCCTTTATTTTTGGGATCGTATTGGAGACACTTTCAGGTACGAGACATCAGCAGTCACATTGCCTATACAGTGATTAGGAGCCTTGCCCGCAGCAGGGCTCTATGGAAACCTTTCAGACCCCACGCTCCCTACCTCCAGGGCAGGCACAGCCTTTTATCTCAATCATGTCTCCCCACTTAGAAATCCACAGGCCATCTGTTTCTAGATCGAAACATAAGTTAAATTTTGATGTCAATTTTTATAATTATTTTAAAGACTCCATTTGGTCCAAATTAGTAAATCTCCTTTTTTTTAGAATATCGAACAAGTAGACAGACATGAAGTCTAAATGATAAGGTTAAAACAGAAAACCGATTTGGTCAAATATGGTCTAATTCTTGACCTAATAATGAAAATAATGAAACAGTAAAATTTCTCTTTCTTTGATTTTCTTTTTTAATTACTTATGATTATTTTAAACTTGCAAAATTATTTTGCTTCACTAATCAATTAAGGACAGTGAAGGACAGAAACAGATATGCAAAAAATGCTTGAATTAATAAATGAATTATACTTCCTACTTCCTCACCCTCTTTTAGCATGTTAAGAGCTTACTTTATGTAAAATTATTTTAATTAAAATAAAATATCCATTCATATGCACTAAAAAAGCCAAAAGAATTAATCTGTAGAAATTAAAGGAGTTCAGTACAGTGAAAAGTTTTCCTTTCAGTTTTTCCTGTCATTAAAAATAGGGAACATTTTGTACACAACTGTTATTATATTACAAAATAAAGAGAGATTATCATTTTATTTTTATGACATTGTAAACATTTTACAGTAAGAAATTTATACCAATGAGACATAGATAAAGTAATTTTAAGTAAAAAATTGATTTTGTTGACTGTGTTGACTTATCAGTAAACTGTGTCCTTAAACAATGCCTCTTGGCCCTGGCTTATGGGGCTCAGCTGGACGCCCCGCAAAGGAAAAGGCTGCCAGTTCCTGGCCAGGTACAGGGGCACATACAAGACGCAACCAATTAATGTTTGTCCCTCAGTCAATGTTTCTCTCCTTCCCTTCCACTCTCTCTAAAAATAAATAATAAAAAATAAATAAAATAAAAATAATAGCATAATAAATCATTTATCTAAAAATGCCTTTTGTTTTGAAAGCTGCCATTATTTTTGGTTACTGGGTGCTTGCACAGAGCCAAATTCTCCAAATATAGGTATGCTAAATGGAACTTCTTTTTTATTTAAGTGGAAAGGGGAAAACACTGCAACCACAGAGGTTGCTGATGTTATTGGAATGTTGGATTTCATACAAGACTCAAATGTCTATGGTGTGGCTGTACCAGGTATGAATTTATTTCAGCTTTCGGAAGAATTCTCAGAAAGAATGTGCCAACTTTACTTTAGTTTTGCAATGATCTTTCTAATTCAGCATTTTGGTTTTTATATATTCCATAGCTATCCTCATTTTGTCATGGCAAATAATGCCCTACAAAGGAAAAGTATCCATTGAATTGTTTTATGATTTTTGCTTTTCATTGTAGTGTGGGTTGATTTTTTCCCCCATTGAATTTTAACATGTGTGTGTGTATTTTTAAACAGAGTTTAAAAACTCTGGCCAGTGACTCACTGTTTAACAATAGTTAGAGCCTTTCAATAGTCTATTATTTTTCTCTTTGTGACTAGAGTTTATACATGCCTCCAAACAGAAACATGTTCTACTTTAAATGTTTAATAACACTGACTTGTATTTAACTTGAATCTTTTAAAAATTATTTATTTAAAAATTGTTTGGCCTCATTTATCTTTATGAATATGCATGAGAGGGTTGTAGCATGACAGTGGAAATGGCAAATAAAAGTGACCAACATGAACTCGCAAGATTCCTCTCCACTGTCCTTTTTTTTTTTTTTAACTAATGCTAATATATTCCAACTAATGTTCGTAAGTGCTTGAGGACCTGGGGGTAGGGATGAAGTGTGAGTAGGGAGGAGAGGAAGCGGCCAGCCCCTTGGTGTCGGAGAAATGCTACAGGAGATTCCAACCTCCTGGAAGGATCATAGGTGGTGTGATAAGCAGGAAGCAATCTGTGGGTTTAGTTATGAAAATACCGGTCTCTAGTTCTGACCTTAAAAATATGCCCTTTATTTTTTTACATTGATGCATATTATGGACATTTCCCTGAAATATATTTGTCTTTCAATAAATTGTTCCTCTTCATATTTTATACTAATGGTGGTAAGATGAAAATTATGGGTCACTAACAGTGTTTTCCATTCCATCTGTTTCATTTTTGTAGGGCAGGCAATTAAGGATAGACTCTGCTCTTCCCTGTTGCCAAATTATTTCTAGAGAGTTAATCACATGCTCAGGGAAGGACCCACTTATTTACCCTCCTGTTGCGTTGTCTTTACTACAATAGCTTAATGTTTCCCTTTATAGCAATTGGTATATAATTGACAGGATTATTTTAAAAATTCACCTGGTTATTGTAAAATAGACTCTATTTCAAACTTTTTTTTTTCAGATTATGAAGGGAAAGCAGGAATGGCCTCTATTATTTTAAAACCAAATAAATCTTTAGACTTGGAAAAAGTTTATGAACACGTTGTAACACTTCTACCAGCTTATGCCTGCCCACGATTTTTAAGAATTTAGGTAATTTTGTGTCTGAATTTTAAGAATTAAAGTAATTTTACTTATCCATCAAATTTAAAACCAAGAATCCAGGAGATGGTTTAATTACAAAATAATATTTTATCCTTTAGCTAATATGTGCATTTTATTTATATTAGAGAATTTCAAGAGCAATGAAAAGCCTTGGAATGCTAATTTATGCCATATTTGAAACCTAAGTAAAGAAGATGGAGCATGATGAAATGCTAAGATGTTTTTGTCTTTGTCCTAATTTGATTTGCTGTCTTCCTCTCCACTCAAGACCCCAGAGCAAAAATGATGGTCCCAGCAATGGTGGCAAGCCAAAACCATACCTTACACAGGCCTCATGGAGATATGTGTACTATGTGCCTAAAATTAAGTTCCACCAAGCTGACATCAAGGTGTCTGTGGGATGTGTCCAGAACCTAAAAGCCATTGGCTGTAAACAATTTTGCTTTTAGTTTTTGTCCTCAGGATTTTAGGATTTTATATTTTGGAGAAGTCTTAAATTTGTTTTGAAAGGTGGACTCTCTCTCTTGTTAGATTATTAGACTAATACACAGTAAAAATAGAACAAATTTACTCGGATACTGGTAACTTTGCTTGCTCATTTCTTCAGCCATTCATTTATTTAACACGGTTCTTCAAATGTAATTTCCCAAAGCTAGCACTCATCATCTCTTAACATCCAATCACAGTTTATCCAGGTATATTTGTCATACTGCTATTAGATTTCTAATAGAGCAATAGATGTTGTCATGTTTATTTTGAAAGCATTTGCTGGGCAATTCTCATAGCCAAGTCATTGCTTGGCCAATGCGATACACATCATCTGAACTGCCAGAAACACATATTTTATTTACATAATGTTTTTGTTGTAAGAACTTTTCCATACATCATCTCAGATTATTTTCATAACAATCATCTGAAACACTAAAGGTAAATAAATATGAAGCAAAAGAAACACATTTTTAATTGAAAAAAATTTAGATAAGTGTGGATTCACAGCAGTTGTAAGAAATAATACAGAGCCTGTATACCCTGTCCTTGGCTTCCTCCAATGGTAACACTTTTCAAAACTATTATACCTATGATATTGACATTGATACAATTTGCCCATTTTTTTAAACTTTCCTCTGTTTTACTTGTACTGGTGTGTGTGTATTTCTGGGAGTTTTCCTCTATCCTAGGCTCCTCCAACTGGTCTAATAATTAAGTTGGCATGAGACAGATTAATAAAAAAAAAAGTAGTGCTGGCCTGCGAACCAAAGGGTCACTGGTTCGATTCCCAGTTGGGGCACATGCCTGAGTTGCAGGCAAGGTCCCCAGTAGGGGACACGTGAGAGGCAACCACACATTGATGTTTCTCTCCCTCTCTTTCTTCCTGCCTTCCCCTCTCTCTAAAAATAAATAAAATCTTTTTTAACAAAGAAAAATAACCAAATTTAATTACATACATGCATATGGGAACCCCACATACCTGAGAGAGTCAGAGACCCCCATACACAAGAGCTCTAGAGACAGAAAGTTAAGATGAATTACATCTGAGCTGAGTATGGCATTCTGAGCTAAAGATGAGATAAATAAGTCGCACTGTGAATTCACAAAAGAAAGGTCGTTTACAGGACAATAAGAAGAGCAGGTGTTCAGTAGGTAGAAGTTTGCCTGCCATATAGCTAAGCCATAAAATGTTATTTCTAGCAATAATTTACTATGAGCAAGGCCCCAAATTTAAATTCTTTAAGGAAGAGTTAAAAGTCTGTGAGCCTTCAGCATCTCAACTGCCTTGAAAATAATTCACATGCCTAAGTGACACATCTGGGGGAGGCGTGTTCTTAACCCCATCAGTATTAAGTTCTGTACACTTTTATGAGCTGTGTAGCTTTATGCATCAGTGACCACAGTCCAGATATGAATGATTTCAACACCACAAGGATACTTCACATTGTCCTTTTATAACCACACCCGGCTCCCTCCTGCCTCTCCCTCACCCACCCAAGAAACTAGGGCTCCCCAACCCCCAGGCCGCAGACTGGTACCCATCCATGGCCTGTTAGGAACCAGGCCACACAGAAGGAAGTGAGCAGCAGGCAAGTGAGCAAACCTTCCTCTGTATTTGCAGCTGCTCCCCATCACTCACATTACAGCCTGAGCTCTGCCTCCTGTCAGATCAGCAGCAGCGTTAGATTCTTATAGGAGCGCTGACCCTACTGTGAACTACACATGCGAGGGGTCTAGGTTGCGTGCTCCTTATGAGAATCTAATGCCTGATGATCTGAGGTGGAGCTGAGGCAGCGATGCTAGTGCTGGGGAGCGGCTGCAAATACAGATGATCATCAGCAGAGAGGTTTGACTGCACAGAGACCGTAATAAATCAGTTGCGTGCAGACTCATGTCAAAACCCTTTCAGTGAGTGGCAAGTGACAATTAAGCTGCATCTAGTGGCAGGCTTTCTAGTGGAAAGTGAATTGATTGTACTTCAATTGTACAGCTGCATCTGGTGGCAGGCCTTAAGTCAGATCTGACACTAATTTTAGTCCGCGCACGGCCCACCAAATATTTTATTTACCATTTCCATCCACGCGTCTTTCCCACACTGCACACTTGTCTCGGTCACAGTTTGGTAAGCCCACATGCTAGCCCTAGCCAAAATGAGTGAAAAACAAACATCACTGGAGAGCTTCTTTGAAAAAGGGAAAAGACCCAATGATGAGACAGCAGAAGATTTAAGACTGCCAGCAAACAGAAAGTTGAATTTAAAAGAAAATATCAAGAATCCTACTTAAATTACAGGTTCACTGCAATAGGTGATTCACATTCTCCAAGCCCGCTTTGTATAATGTGTGGCAACCAGTTATCCAACAAAGCCATGAAACCTTCAAAACTGCTTCACCACATGGAGACCAAGCACTCTGCATTAAAAGACAAACTTTGAAGTTTTTCAAGAGAAAAAGGACATGAACACGAAGCACAGAAGCAGTTATTGAAGGCCACCACTTACTTCATCAAATGTGTCTGCGCTGAGAGCATCATTCTTAGTGGCTAACCGCATTGCTTAAGCTAAGAAACCCTTTATTATTGATGAAGAGTTGATCCTGCCTGCTACTAAGGACATTCGTCGTGAACTTTTAGGAGAGGCTGTAATTCAAAAGGTAGCCCATGTCCTCATTCAGCCAGCACCATAACTAGATTAATTGATGGAATAGCAGAGGATATTGAGGCACAATTGTTAGAGAGGATTAATGAGACACCATGGTACGCAATCCAGGTTGATGAGTCCTCCGATGTTGACAACAAGGCAACAATGCTTGTTTTTCTGCAATATATTTTTCAGGAAGATGTGCATGAAGATATATTATATGCACTTTTGTTGCCAACCAGCACCACAGCTGCAAAAGTATTCAAGTCTTTGACTGATTACATATCAGGAAAACTGAACTGGTCATTGTTGTCAGTGTGTGCACAGGCGGAGAGGCTGCCCTCACGGGATGGCTTTCTGGTTTCACCACTCGGGTCAGAGAGGTCGCTTCTGAATGTGAGTCTACACACTGTGCTGTCCATAGAGAAATGCTGGCTAGCCGAAAAATGTCACCTGAACTTTACAACATTTTGCAGGATGTGATTAAAATGATCATCTGCATTGAGCTACAGGCCCTTAACTCACATCTGTTAACGCAGTTCTGTGAGGAGATGGACGCAACGCACACTCGTCTTCTCTTATACACAGAAGTGAGGTGCCTTTTTAAAGGTACATCACTGGCCAGAGTTTTTGAGTTACAAGAGTTGTTCGAGAGATTTCTTTTAGAAAAAGTCACCACTGGCAGCACTTTTCAGTGACACAGAATGGGTCACAAACCTTGCCTATTTGTGTGAGATATTCAACCTGCTCAACAAACTCAATCTGCCACTTCGGGGAATGACACTGTGTTCAAGTTGGCAGATAAAGTGGCTGCATCCAAAGTCAAACTGAAATCATGGGGGTGATGAGTGAACATTGGGGTTTTTGACGTTTCAAACATTAACAGAGATTTTGAAAGAGACTGAGCCAGGGCCTTCTTTCTCCTGCACCTGGCTGGTGCATGATCACCTGTCTCAACTTTCAGAAGAGCCTGAGCATTACTTCCCAACCACAAAAGACCCCTGAACATGGAAGGAATGGATCCATGACCCATTTGTGAATAAGCCAGGGGAATCGGATTTGTCCGTGTTAGAAGAGGATCAACTGCTTGAGATCACAAATGATGGTGGCCTTGAAAGTATGTTTGAGACAGCTTCAAATCTCCATACGTTCTGGATTAAAGTCGAGGCAGAGTATCCTGAGTTTGCCACAAAAGACTGAAAAGCCTACTTCCATTTCCAACATCCTATTTTTGTGAAGCAGGGTTTTCTGCAGTGACAGCAACCAAAACAAGATTATGGAGTAGGTTGGACATAAGCAACAGACTTAGGGTGTCACTGTCTTCCATCTCCCCCAGATGGGACCATCTAGTTGCAGGAAAAAACGCTCAGGGCTCCCACTGCTTCTGCATTATGATGAGTTGTATAATTATTTCATTATATATTCCAATGTAATAGAAATAAAGTGCACAATAAATGTAATGCACTTGAATCATCGCAGAACTTCCCCCTGCCCCCTACCCTGCTCCGAGGAAAAATTGTCTTCCATGAAACCTTGGTCCCTGGTGCCAAAAAGGTTGGGGGTCACTACAAGGAACAGTGTATTTTAACTGAGTAAGAAGTTGAAGAATAAAATAATATTTTAAGCATTTACCCTTAGGGCTACTTAAAATTCACTGTTATTAAGCAGAGGAAATATTTTGGCATAAGACTAAATTAGTCTTATACAAATTTAGAAAATATTTTAGCATCGTAAAACACCTAAAAGCACTTGGGACATGACTGTTATGTTTATAACAGTATTTGCTACAGTTAGCAGAATGCATGACACTTAGTTGGCAGTCAACATATTTGTTTAATAAATGAGTTATGATCTGATAGAAGCAAAAAAATAAGTTACTTTTCATAAAATGAATAAAATGACTATCTTATTAAAAACCTGTTTAGCTCAAATTTTTAAAGGATTCACTTGCCAATAAATTTACAAAAAATATTTTAATATTTTATTATTTGGTATGGCTAGGAATGAATTAAATTGGTCCTTTCATTCTGCTTGTGGAAACACAAATTGTTACAGCCTTTCTAGGAAACAATTTGGTAAATATGTGATTAGACTCTTACAACTTGCATATATTTTGACTTAGTAATTTTATTTCCAGGAATTTATCCTTAGGAAATAATCAAAGATGTGCAAATGTTATGTAGAAAGATGTTCAAATATTTTTTAATTTTTTATTGTATTTTTTCCATTTTCATTTATCCTCCTATATGCTCTCTTCCACCTCCACCCACCCCTCTCCCTCGCAGTCACCACACTGTTGTCTGTGTCCATGAGCTCGCTCTTTTTTTTGCTTGATTCTGCCATCGCCCAATCCCTCAACCCAAGCTGTCCGCTGTTCTCTGTGAATCTGTCTCTATTTTGCTTGTTAGTTCAGTTTGTACATTAGATTCCACAAATGAGTGGAATTAATATGGCATTTTTCTTTCTCTAACAGCTTATTTATCTTAGCATAATATTCTCCACGTCCATGCTGTCCATGGGTTAAATGTCCATCCATGCTGTCGCAAAGGGTTAAACTTTCTTCTTTTTCATGACCAAATAGTATTCCATTGTATAAATATACCATCAAAGTATCACTTATAGAAGTAAAAATTCTTATGTTCTAAATTCAAGAATAATAGGGAGGTTAGTTAAAATATTATAATTAGATGACATGACACCATTAAAAAGTGCTGTTTTGATGAAAATTACCTAACCTGGGGGAATTTACCTTGCATACTATTTTAAGAAAGAACATCAAATTGTAAAAGTACAGTGAGCTTCTAATTTTCTAAAAAAAAAAAAAGAAAAAGAATATGTATTTCATTAGCATGATACCTTCTAGATTCATACATGTTGTTGTAAATGGTAAGATTTATTCTTTTTATGGCTGAGTAATATTCCATTGTATATGTGTACCATTGCTTTTTTATCTACTCATTTATTGATGGGCACTTGGATTGCTTCCATTTCTTGGCTATTGTAAATAGCACTGCAATGAGCGTAGGAGAAATATGTCAGACAGAGAAAGACAAATACCATAGGATTTCGCTTATATGGTGAATGTAAAGAGCAAAATAAGCAAACAAACAAAATAGAAACAGACTCATAGATCCAGAGATCAGACGGATGGGTTGCAAGAGGGGAGGGGTGTTAGGAAGCTGGCTGAAAAAGATGACAGGATTAAGAAGTATAAATTGGTAGTTACAAAATAGTCACAGGGAAGTAAAGTACAGCATAGGGAATACAGTCAATAATACTATAATAACTATGTATGATGTTAGGTGGGTACTTAAAATATTGGGGGTCCAACTTTGTAAAGTATAAGATTGTCTAACCACTATACTGTACACCTGAAAATAATATAAAATGATATTGAATATAAACTGTAATTGAGAAATAAAAATAAAATTAAAAAGATAGGTGTTTCTACACAGTCATATCTAATTCTGTGATGATATTGTTGGGTAGGCGAGGGGTGAGAAGGGATGGGATCAGGGAAGGAATTTCAAAGCGAAATTGACTCTAGAATTACTCTAAAAGGATAAATAAAAATGACCAACTTACTCATAGAACTTTACATGGACCAACACATGCAATCTAATTTAAAACAAGGTTAATCTCTGTGCTTGAAACTGCTACAGAGAGTCCATTCTTATCTCTTTTAGATCTTTTAAAGCAGAGACTTCAACTTTCTAGATTCATGGCATCTTTAGTGTCTCAGTAGTTATTTTATGATACTCTTCGGCCAAAAAATAAATACCTAACCATTCATTTATTCAGTGGTTAGGTCAAAACATATTACTAAGTACAAGTTTAACAAATTACTTGCCATTTGAAAAAATAATGCATATAAATGGAAAGAAATATGTTTTTATTTCATTTTCAAATAAACACAGTGCTAAAGATGCATAAGTTGAGTATTACGCAACTCTTCAAACCTTGGAATCAGATCACCTGAACAGGGCCAGCCTAACTCCATCTTCACATTGATTTGGGGCTGGATTTGCCTTTTATCATAGCTCCACTGAAAACTCTGATTTGCAAAAATATGACATCATTGATAAGAATTTAACACAAAGTAATACTGAGCTAGTAGTTTGCAAGTGGTAACTGACAGATGTCACTGGGTTTATTTTGAAAATTTTAAATATTCCATGGAGAACCTGGAAATTCACTGAGGTACCACATGCACCTCAGTGCAAAGCTTGGAAACTCAAGTTTCAGATCATTCTTTACTCCCTCTAGTTCATAAAGTATTCTGCCTTATGGAATAGTTTGCTATCTTTTACATTATTTTATCTTCTTGGTGTCTAATAACATTCTTGGTACATAATTTTATATTACACTGAATTGAAGAAATAACGTTTCTTAGACATACTTGTAATCAGTTGTAGTCAGTTATTGACTATGCTCATAATTTTTATATGTTGAATGAAGTTCACAGGTAAATCAACCTAAAGATTTAAGTATTCTAGATGGCATTTTTTTATTTCTGATGTTAAATTACTAGTAGTACATAGAGATGGCCATTATGTATAAAAATGTTATAACAATATTACAGTCTATATTGTTAAATATGTTACTTATATATTATGAATAATATTAAATCATTCCACTGATCTTGGTAATTGCTTTGTAGGAAAAGATGGAAATGACAGAGACATTCGAACCAAAGAAGTTCCAGTTGATGAAAGAAGGATTTAGTCCATTGAAAATTTCTGATCTACTTTACTTCATGGACAACTTGAAAAAAGCTTATGTTCCATTAACCAAAGAGCTTTATGATCAAATACTGCTACGTGAGATCAGACTTTAAGATTTTTTTGTCTATGGCATTTTCATATGCTTCCTCCGGAGAGTAAGGGAGATACATAGCTCTCGGTATGAAATGGAGGAAAGATGCTGGTGTTCACTAAGCACGTGCTGTATTTTCTTATTATGTGACAGCTTTTCTTTAATTAAGAACTTTAATTTGTTTTAATAACAAACTTTAATTGATTATCCTTTTTACCTATTTGGGGATTCAGTGCATAACTAAGTATTTGCCTTAATCAAAAAACTTTTAAATAATAAATTAGTGGGTAATGTTTAGATACATAATAAAAATGTATCTTTTAATATTTAAAGTTTCTAGTTTTGAATACATGGTTAAATTTTATTGAAATATTTAATTTTCATGTGCCCTGTTCTATAATTCAATAAAATCATCTTCATTAATATGTGTTCTGAGGTTCTGTTCTGATGTTTTTAATTATAAGCTTCTAGTCAAAGGAAACTGACTGACTAAATGCATGCACTCCTATCTCCCTTATCTTAAACTTACATTAAAATGGTAGAAGAAATATAAAACTATGAAACTACAAAGCAGGAGAACTGATAAGCCCAAAAGATTTCGAAATTTTTCAAGTATATAAATGGGATCAAATGCACAATAAAATCCAGCAGAGCTATAGAAACCACTACTACATGGAAAGAATAGACTAGGATATAACAGGTATTAACACCAAGATCAGAGGCAGAAAGAGCTTTGAGTGTGACAGGCCTGTGAGTGGCTAGCTGGGAATGTATTTCAAGGACAGTGTAATGAGCACAATTGTATTTATTTCAATCTGGAAGCACCAGCCTCCAGTGTTTACATCAGGCTGGAACCATACACATGACTCTCTTAACACAGTAAGCTATCTCCCGTAGGAGGGGATTATTTATTATTTATTCATTAGCAAATATGTATCACACATCTGAGAAATATATGCAGAGGCCCTAGTAAAAGAAAGAGTTTGGCATGTTGGATGAACAGAACAGAGGCTAGTACTCCCCGTGGCTTGAGCACAGTAAATGCAGAGGAGCAAATGACCAGAAGATGAACTTGTAGGCAAAGTGTTTGGACTTTATTTCAAATGCAATGAGAAACAATGGAAATAGTTTAATCATGGAAGAGACACTATTAGAAAGATTACACCAATTGCTATGTGGGAATCAGATTGGGAAATGAGGCAAACATGCAAATAAACTAGTTAGAACTACATGTTTTGGTGAGTTTTATGGTTTTGTGTCAACTTTGGTAGGCTATGGTATGTAGTTGTTTGGGCAAGCACTACTGTAGGTGTGAACATATTTCATAGATGTGATTAAGTTTATGGGTTGGCTTCATCTAATCAGGAGGTGGCCTTAAGAGCAAAAACAAATTTCATAGAGAAAGAATTCTGCCCCAAGACTGTAATGCAGAAATCCTGCTTAAGTTTCCAGCCTACCAACCTGCCCTAGAGATTTCGAACTTGTCAGTCCTTACGATCGTATGAGTCAATTCCTTTAAAGATAGATACGTGATATAAATCTGTATATATCTATATCTACATATATTCATATCTAATTGATTCTGTTTCTTTGGAGAACACTGACTGATACACTATTGTTGTGGTGCAGGCAAGAGATTAAAATTGGAGCGGTGATAAAAGAAAAGTATACAGATTCAAGATATAGTCTCTACGTATAATTGACTGGATTTAATGATACATTGAATAAGGAGTTATGAGAAAGGGAGTGAATTTCCTCCTAGGTTTCTATGTAAACAACTAGGTGAATAGTGATTTTTATTTACTGAAATGAAGGTAACTGGGGAACAATAAGTATTTGGGTGGTGAGAATAGTGGGAATTAGCTCTGTTTCGTCCAGGTTAATGCTGAAATATCCACAGATAGCCAAGTATATATGTGAAGCTGTGAATATGTAATTTGGTGGGTGGGCTGAGTTAGAGATTTTGGGGATTGTCACGTAAGTATGATACTCAGAGGTGAGAAGTTAGAGGAGACCACCTGGTAGCAGAATGAAAGATGACCCATGTTGAGCCCAGGGAGCCTAGGACCAATGTGTGAGGAAAGCTGCAGTTAGAGCTCAGGTAGGAAGGGAAACACAGGTGGTCAGAGAAGTAGGAGGTAAATGAGCACTACAGCATCGCAGACCTATCAAGGGAAGAGTCAATAGTGTAGAATGATACCGGCTGATCTATGAAGGTAATGCTAGAAAGAAAGTATTACCTGGGTTTGTTAAAATAGATGTCAGCAAGAGTAGTTTTTGACTGGTGGGAGGCAGCAAGAGAGATTAAAATAAGTTGAAGAGTGAATGATAAGTGAGGAAGTGGAGATAAATCTCTTATGAAATTTTGCACTAAACAGGAACAGAGAAATAAAGACCTTGAGAAGTATGTGGAGTCAAGAGAGAATGCAAATATTTTATTTATATTTTGTTTTCAGTAGACCACCTTTACTGAAATAAAGCAAGATGAAAAGACAAAGTGAAAAGATACATTGATTAGTCTTGGCTGCATCCTGACTGTCACCCATCCTTGAGAAACAATTTATTTTATTCAATTCCTATAAAAACTTGCAATCTTTCTTTATGAAAATACAGTAAATATGAATACATTTTCTTACTTCTGTGCCCATTTTAAGCATAGAAAATGTTATTCTGTACCTGAAGCTTTCCATTTAATAATATATAGGGAAGACCTTTCCAAATTAGTATATGGAGAGCTTTCTTATTTTTATAGTAGTTTTTGATGCATATATCACATTTTAAGCAGCCACCTATTAATGCATTCTTTGGTTACTTCCAAAATTGTGTTACTAGAGACAGTGCCCAAATCAATGACCTTGTAAACATTCCTTCTGTAAATGTGCATCAGTTAAGTAAATTCCTAGAGATGAGATGGCTGGGCCATGTTTTTATACTGTAGATAGATATTGCTAAATTGATTTTTGTGGGGTTAAATAATTTTACATTCCTATCAGCAAGATATGAGGGCCTGCTTCCCTATTTCCTTGCCAACTGTTGTGAAACTTTTGAATTTTACCAATCTGATAAGTGAAAAGTAGATGTTAAGTGTACTTTCAGTATGTGTTTCTCTTATTATGAATAAAATTGGGCATTTTTATACACTTGAATTATTTTCCCTGACCTGTTTGTGCTTATTGCCATTGCCTATTTTTTTGGTTACTTACCTTCTATAAGAGTCCTTTATTTAAGAAATTATCCCTTATCTGTGATGTGAGTTGTAGATATTCCCTCCCCTGCTTTTTCACTTGTTATTTGTAGTTTTCTCTGAAGTAGAATTTTTTCTTCTCTTCCCTCCTCCTCCTCTCTCTCTCTCTCTCTCTCTCTCTCTCTCTCTCTCGCCTCTCCTCCCCCTTCTCTCCATCTTGTTTCTCTGTCCCTTCCTTCCTTTTTTCCTTTCCTTACCTTTCCTTTCCTTCTATCCCTCATTTTTGTAATTAAATATTTTTATCTTTCCTTTTGGTTTGTGAATTTTGAGTTAAGATGGAAAGGCTTTGGCTTCTTTGATATTATAAAGAAATGGGTTTATATTTTCTTTGAGTGTTTTTATGGGGGTTATTTACATTAAAATATTTCATGTAGTGTGTAATATTTATCTTTTCTGGGTCATAATCTTGTTACCTGAAAACTGTTCATTTAAAAATTTACCTTTGTCCTGTTGGTGTCACTTTTACTGTACACTAAATTTTTATCTTTGTTTTAACCTTCTGATCATTTTCCATTGGTGTATCTGTCTACTTATGAACCAGTAACACTGTTTTTAATTGTTGAGGGTTTATCATATGTTTTTACCTCATGGCTCTTCCTTTTTTCACAGTTATCTTAGATATTTTTGCCTGTTTCTTTTTCCCTGCAAACTTTAAAAGCATCTTATCTAGTTCTAGGAAAGGTAAGTATTTTTAAGTATGGAAAATAAGAAAGCATATTTACATGCTGAGGAAAAAATAATGTAGTAGAGAGGGGAGGTTAAATGCAAAAGAGAAAAGGGAAAAATCAGGAACAATTCTTAAGGTGGGAAGAGAACATAAGTTCCAGACATACATAATAAGAGTGGCTTTTGATCATTAAAGGGACATTCATTCCATGGCAAGAAAAATGAAAATAGTTGGCATATGCATTACATGGCTTGAGTGCTATGAGAGTGATGGAGTTCCCATCTGATGACTTGTATATTCTCAAGTAAGTATGAGGAGAGCCAACAGCTGAATGTAGTGGTGTGGGTAAGGGATGCAAGATTGGGAAGTCATGGAAAAGTTATAGTGGAGAAAAACTGAGAATTCAGTTGGAGAGTGATATTGACTGATAATGTAAATTGGAAAGAGAAGAAAGCTGTAAGTCCCTTGTAGTCTTCAGAGGTTGAGGTGGAGACACCAAGCTATGAGGATGTTAAAGCTAGATCAGAGGACAACAAAGCAAAATAGAGAAGGGACCGTGAGGTGCAGGAGCACAACCTCTTCACCGCAATATTTGGGGTGTATCAGAGTTTACAGCCTCTACTTCAGTGGACCAAACGGAAAATGGTTCCCTTTAGAGAGAGCCAGGTTTCCAATAAGGCAATTATTGGAAGGATGGGTTTGATAAGACATTGAGAGTTTATAGGGAATTTGGTATTCACATATCTGGGTTCCACAAGGGCCCAGAGGAACATCTGGGTAGCATGGACAGTTAAAGAATGAGAATAAAAACCCAAATATAATACACAGCCAGAGTTCAGAATCCTGGGAGAGTTGTTAAAAATGCAAGTTCCCAGGTCTTACATCCAGAGTTTCTGAGTGAGTGGAGCTGGGTAGCACCTGAGAATCTGAATATTAAAAGCTGTGCAAATGATTGTTATGCACTCTGGCCTAGAGAACCAATTGTCTCTAGTTAGAGGCTGCGGACTAAGGGAATAACAGCTTCCTATAGTAATTTGACCCTTTCATCTCACTGTTGAAATATGACAGAGTACACAGGCGGTAATCATACAGCTATGCTTCTGTCTCTAGA